ATTGACAGGGCCGGGCGGAGCCGGGTTTGCCAGCTAGTTTAATATGAATAGTACTTCAGTTGTTCCGTAATCCGGTTATTTTACGAATGTAACGAACGTCAAACGGTAGCATTTGCAGCGAGAGTTAGCTTAGATGACAGCGATAAGATGCACGATCCGTAGAAAGTTTACGCTGGATTACGCATCTTTGTTTGAAATGTTCAAACTCTTGACTAAAAAAATGCGAAACAATCTCGAATTCATTGTCAACCTTGCGATATTCCGAATAAGTGTACTTTTCTTTAGTCATGTCCTGAGGAGTTTTTCAAGATTTATGACTACTTGCGAACGTTGAGATATGAAGACAGACCAGATTATTACGGATTGTTTAGTGAGGTGGGAAGCCAGCACTAATTCTTTATTTTTGCTTCAGCAAAACAATGTTTAGTGTGCAGCGGGTTTGAAGCGGGTATATGGATCATTCCTGGATCGCTACGAATGGGAGATTGGAAGGACGCAAGATGAAGTCAACACCGCTCTTTCAATATCGGAAGAAGACCGAAAACCACATAAAGCTCTTGGCCGTAAGCTTCATTTGAAAACTGTTACAGTCTTGATTAGCGTTAGCTTACAAACTCTTTTCAGGGACAAAACTTGCACATAAAACATATCCATTTGCAACTAAAGCAGCTTTTGAAAAGAATATACTCAAGCTGTAAAGGACTTAATGCTGCAATAAACTGCTTTTACCTTATATTGGCTTGTTACATGTTACTTCAAAGTAACCAGGACAATAATTGAGTTATTATGTGTTCAACAAGTGGAATTAACCCTACAGAGCATAGTACAGGCTAAATCTAGAGTTTCGTTTCGTTTTCATTCATGTCCAGATCAGTGGTGGAGCACAACGATGCTGTTCGAATTCTCGAATTTCCCTAGTTCTCGGTTTTTCTACAACTCAATTTCTTTAGAGTTCAGGGAGTCAGTTAGCAACAATATCAACAGTTTTGCCTAGTTTGCCTTGCAACTCAGTTAGTACTCAAAGGCGGTGTCCTGGCAAAAAGTTGAATTTTTAGGTTTTATGCTTACCCTGGCCTATTCGCTGTGCTGAATCTTAAAACACACTAGAGAGGGCGAAAACGGAGAAAAGGAGCCTAACGCAAGAGAAGAATCTGCAGGCGGCGGGGTCTTCTCCACTGTGAATTCACGCCCCCAGCTTTCGATGCAATCTTTTTGGTGTTTTAAGTCACGCGTTCGCACTTGGTCGATGGCAGTGTCAGGGAGGCAGCGGAGTCTGGAAGATCGCCACGAAAGCTGGTAAACCCAAAGGGAAAAGACCACCCATCTTCTAATTTTTCTTCTGCGTTAAAGTCCTTTTTCGACCTTTCCCTCTCCAGTGCAGATCTACGAATTCAGCATAGCGAATAGGCCCAGTTAAGCAAAAACCCCAAGATCGACTTCGCACGGACACTGCCTTTGAACATTTTTCAAAAAATGCCTAGTTCTTTTTTTATTTCGATGTTTAAATCAAGCAGTAAATGCACATCTGTATTCACATTATGAACATTCAAGAAGCAGAAAATGTGGTGGGAGGGAGTTGAAATTAAGCGCGCCAATTTCTATATGGACCACATTCGGGTGATTTCGAGAGAGGATACTGTCGAGCACGGCCTACTTCTCTTGAGTTTTGCGGGTAGAGGAACGAACATCTCAATTAGGTACCGCCTCTGCGAACTACTGGTCCTAACACGATGCACAACAGTAGGACGGAAG